GAACAGAAATTAGCAATAAAAGCAGTGCTGAAACCAACAGACCCTTGGACAAAATATGGAGGTTGGTAAGCACACAGCTATGGCATGGAATAGTAGGATCATGTTAGGTAAAGGTAATCCTAAGACATTTATACACTATGTATACACATTATAAGTAAACTATTTCATTGCTTACCCAACTCACAGCCCTTTTCCAGAGTCCATGGAAAAGAGAAGATTAGAAAACACAGACTTGTGTCCCTTCCAGCAAGATAACTGGACCAGCAATAGATACGTGACAAATCCAGTCAAAACAGCTTAAAACAATAGGTGCAAAAGTCACCTAGAGGTACAGTCTTAATTAGTGACTATATTGAGCATTATACAAAATGAGTAAGTAAAGTAGGCTGTAGAGATAGAAGACTAGTGTAGATGTATAAAAAGACACAGGGATAGGGCCGGCCCTGTGGCGCACTCAGTAGAGTGTGGCGCTTGGGAGCGCGGCGGCGCTCCCTCCGAGGGTTCGGATCCCATATAGAGACCGGTCCGCTCATTGGTTGAGCGTGGTGCGGGCGCGACACCGAGGGTTGCTATCCTGTTGCCGGTCGCGGTATGGGCGCGACACCAAGGGTTGCGATCCTGTTACCGGTCACGAAAAAAGACAAAAAGGAAAAAAAAAAAAAAAGACACAGGGATAAAGAGATCAGACAGCCTTCAAGTGAGAAACAGAACAGCCACCTCTGGAGTAGAAATTCTGGTTCCTATGAGATCTGACTATGCTTTCTTTCATTGTCTTTGGATATCTGGAAACTACATCTTTTTTATATAAGCGAGTTTTGTTCCTTATAGTCCAGGGTAAAGACAGGAACAAACAGTACAATATACAGTAAAAGTATAAAAATAAAAGTATATGATGGTAGTGGAGAAAACACTTTCAACCCAACAATTCTATACAATGATAAGCTTGTACAAAAATTTAAATATTAGCACATACATAGTAGCTTTATTTATAGATAGAGAAAAGTTGGTAACTACCTCAACATTCAAAGGTCTGTTAACAACCATAATGCATTCATACCGGCAATACTGTGCAGCCATCAGAAGCTGTAGAAAAGTATAGGTATTCCTTTCTATCTGAACTCGTGCTTCTTGACTCAGAAACCAAACAGATTCATATAGCAAGGGATACTTGTATTCAGTGACATGGAAAGATGTTCATGATATATTAAGTGAAAAAACGGTTACAAAACAATATATATTGTGTTTTCGTTAAAAGTAGCACATTTACATTTATTTGTATATACATATAAAAATGAAACTTTCTGTGTTGTCTGTAATGTTCTCTTTTTTGGTGATTCTTATAAACAATAAAAACTCTCCCAAAAAATTAAATACAGATTCTCTTTCAGAGACTCCAAGGTAGGATGCAGCCACCAAATCCTGGCTCTACTGCAGAACCGAACAGTAACGTGGATAAAAAAGCAAGCGGTCAGGAAGGAAAAAAGAAAGGGTGAATGAAATGACCCAAGGTAAAGAAGGGGGCCTGGGGCTTTCCACCAGTGGAAGGCCCTATTGCCTAGTAACTGCCACTCTCTAAATTCACTCTAGCCAAGCCAGTCTCTTCACTGTCTCCCACCTCTCATGTTTCTACTATGCTGTTCACTCTAATTCTCTAATGTTGACTGTTCTCCATCATGCCCTCTGTTTAATAGCAATTCAAGTCTCAGTTCCTTCAGAAAGCAGTCTCTGGATATTTCAGGTAACAGTAATTTCTCCCTTCCTTGGAAATAGGTATATTTCCAAATTCAGAGATCTACTTAAGAGAGTTCCTCAAAATCTCTGTTCCTAATCAGTACACTGGAGTGCCAGCTCCAGAGCACCAAAGGGCAACTCCCCACAAGTGAAATCACATAAGATCAACATGTAAGCAATGTCTAAGATGTATCCACTTCCATAAAGATACCTTGAGTATAAATTTGGGAAGCAAAAAGATAAATGGCAGTAAAAAAAAAAAAAAAAAAAAAAAAAAAAAAAAAAAAAAAATATTTTGTTTTT